TAGCTCGGCTCAAATGCATGAATCAAGAGCGTCGATAGCAAATAAGCAACAGCAGAAAGATATAGAGGAAATCAGAGCGCAATTCTTTTCTGAAATGGAATGATACAGAAAAGATTAGCATGGTCCCTGCACAAGGATGACACACAAGCTCCTGGCAGGGAAGCCCAAGGTCCTGAGTTCAATTCCTGGTAGGAGGAGGGGGGGGAGGGTAAAGGGAGGGGAGGAAGAGGGAGAGAGGGAAGAAAGGGAGGGGAGGGGGGAGTGGGAGGAGGTAGGAGAGGGGGAGAAGGGGGAAAAGGGGGAAGAAGAGGAGGAGAAGAAGATCTTACTTAGTATTTTGGCCCTTGTCCTGTAAGATCAGTCAGGACTCAGGGCATGACAGGATCCATCTTAAAGAGCTCTGCAGCTCTGGTTGAGTCACCCAAGTTCCTAAGCAAGGTACTGTTTAGACCCAGAGGATAGGAGTCAAGCAAAGTATATTTCACAAAAGGAGAGTCACTAAAGAGGGAATGGTCCTCCATGTTTCCACGGAAGCCATATGGTTAGGTAAAACTGTGACCCATCCTGCCAAATGACACAACTAGTAGAGGAAAAAAATAAAAGAACAAAGAGGCTCCTAACATGACACCAAAAGTAACTACTGAGGAGCCCCAACTATCTTGACAAATATACATACACGAATTTTGATTTATGATCTTACTTTGTCTTGGTCTTAAACACCAAGCAGGAAAGCATAATTTCAAAGGGAGTGATTAATAGCAATATTTTAAAAAGAATGCTGAGCTAAATATAAAAAGGGGCTCCAAAGCCAGGTGTGTGGTGCTTATTTCCTAAGCAGCACTCAGGAGGCTAAGGCAAGAGAAATCACCAGAAGTTCAAGGCCAGCCTGGGCTACATAATGAGTTCAAGACAGAGATCCTATCTCAAAAAAACAAAATGGGGGTAAGAAGAATCCAAACATTAAACTGGTCTCTACTGGCAGGTTTCTTTAAAACATATTTTGTACAGGGTATCACTATACAGCTCAGACTCTAGTGACCCTTCTATGTTCAAGCCTCCCAGCACTGGGATTACAGGCATGCATCACCACACCCGGATTCAGTGGACGGCTCAACATGCCCAGGGGCGGGGCCAATGGGCCCTTCTATTGGTAGTTTGTATCTGTATCTATAACACTTTAACCTACAGCTATAAGAGGTCATGATTCCTAGTCCCAGTAGCCCTTTCAAAAAATGTGTCCATCAGCTTCTCTTAGTGTATTGTCATTACGTTATTTTGATGTACATGAAAGTAACACTCACATAAAAATTTCACTTCTTATACAGGTCTACCTATAGGATAAAAATGTCAAATTAAATATTCTAGCTACTAAACATCATTATTTTTGTGACATAAACTAATTTTCTATTATCTACTTCAGGCCTTTTATGTTTATGTTATCTAGGGATAACAAAGGGAAAAAACAAAATGTTTCTGCCCAGGGAACTATACACAAAAAAACTGTAGATGACATTGGTGAGCTGACAGGTGAACAGGTAGGTGCAGCATCTCAAAAGACCTACTACAACAACAGGAAAACAAAAAAGATGTCAACTGTGCCCTACAAGAAAGGGCAGGTAAGCAAAACATATGTGCTATCAGTGTAAGAAATACTTGTGTATGAAACATGTAATTTCATGTGTGAAAACTGACTTGGGTGTGACAGTTGAAGCAAAGATGATTTTTGTTGTAGAGTTATATTAGAATTTTCTTTTTTTTTTAATTTTATTTATGTGTGTGTGTGGCCAGCTCAGCCCACCAGGGGGCAGGTCTGGCTGGCATGTGGTGCTGGGGGATTGAACCGTGGTCCCTGTGCTTTGCTAAGCTTTTTCTAAATAGGTGCTTTAGACCACGGAGCCATCTCACCAGCCCTAGAATTTTCATTGTAGGCCTCACAGGTTTTTATTTCTGATGTTATGTCTTAGGTTTTGTAAGCAAGTAAACAGCTGATGTAAAAATGTTGATATCTATTCTGAATGTACAACACATACTAAGAATACTTTTTTGATATTTTATATTCCTGTTAATGATACATTGAAAAATATAAGAACCTCTTGACAAAACAATTAAGACCAGCAAGATGTCAAGTATGTCCTACAAAAAGGTCAGGAAAGCAAAACACATGTGTGCTGTCAGTGTAAGCAATAAGTGTGTACAGAATGTGCTGCTGTCATGTGTGAAGATTGCCTTATGTATGATAAATGAAGATTTTTTTTGGTAGAGTGCTAAAAACAAAAAAAATAATTTTGATCTCTGGCTATGCAGAGTCAATGTCCTTCTCCACAAACCTGAATCAACCGTAAGATGGACCTTTAAGCATCTCTTTCTTCATCCCTTAATAATTAAAGATCACTAGGTGTCTTCCCAAAATTTAAATATTACAGTTTCCCTTATATGGGAAACCCAAAGTATAAATAAAGAGCTAAGTAAAAGATAAATAATAAGAAACAAAAAGAACTTTTGCAAAGGGGAAGGGAACCAAGAGTTGGAAGGGGAGAAGTAGGAGAAAGGGATTTAAAATGAATTAAGATGTGTTATACACATGTACTAACCACAATGACACATTATGTACTGCAAACATGTACAAATATAAATGCTAAGATAAAAATAAGGGATCAAAATGGAGGCGTGTTGAGGAAGAAATATGATCAGGTAGAAAGGATACAAAGAAAACGGAAATTATTTTTGGAGACAGAGTCTCATTAGGTAGTTCAGACTGGCCTAAAACTCACAATGGAGCGCAGGCTGACCTCCAATATGCAGCACTTCTCCTACCTTAGTGTCCTGAGTGCTGAGATTACAGGCATGCAATGCCAGACCTGGTTCACAATTTTTTTTTTTTTTTTTTGCGGAACCGGGGATTGAACTCAGGCCCCTGCACTTGCCAAGGAAGTGCTTATTCCACTGAGCCATCTCCCCAGCCCTCACAATTTTTAAATTGTACTTTTAACAAAGGCTGCAGGTTCAAGACACAAATCCAGGGGGGGAAAAAACCTCCTAAGGTGCTTATAGACACAATTAAACCAGGGCCATACCCTTGTACCTCTAAATGAGCCTTGGCCTTTCCCTTTTGTCTGTAAATAGACCTTTCCTTTGTTGCTGTTCTTGAGACAGGACCTCACTACTGAGTAGTTCAGGCTGGCCTTGAAGTGATCCTCCTGCCTCAGCTTCCAGAGTACTGGGATTACAAGCATGTGCCACCATGGGGGGAAGCTTTCCCTTTTTAGTATATGTGCTTTCAAAGTGAGCACAGGCTTTTCCCTTCTAGATAGGCTACAGTTCTATCACTTGTGATGGATGTCACCTATGAATGGGCCATTCCTCTATCCTTGCAGAAAGAACTGTCAATTTTTATCTGTACATAAATTCTATAGATACCCATCCTCAAATCCCTCATGAATATAGTAAGCTCAGAACCATAAGCACCTCTCTCCCTCTGAGTGTATACTTATTTGTCTTTTCCTTTTTGAGATAGGATTTCACTGTGTACTACAGACTGGCTTTGAACTCATTATGTAGACCAGGCTGGCCTCAAACTCATGATCCTCCTGTCTCAGCCTCCTAAGTGCTGGGATTACAGACAGGCACCATCATGCATGGCTTGAGTACACCTTTAAAATACTACCTAATCTCTTTTTTGTTTCTTTTTGTTAAAAACAGGATACAGGGGGCCCAGGAGATGGCTCAGTAGAATAAGCATTTGCCTGGCAAGGGCCTGAGTTCAATCCCTGGTTCCACAAAAAAAAAAAAAGTGTTTCTTTGAGTTCAATCCCCGGTTCCGGGGGGGGGGGGGAAACAGGATACAGTGGCCTACACCTTTAATCTTAGGTAATGGAGAGACTATGGAAAGAGGATTCCAACTTTAAGCCCAATGTGAGCAAATTAGTGATTTAGCAAGACCTTATCTAAATCAAATGGTACCAGCTGGGCATGTTGGCACACATCTGTGATCCCAGCAAATGACAGGCTGAGCCAAGAGGACCACTGCAAGTCTGAGACCAGCCTATGCTATAAAGTGAGCTCAAGGCCAGCCTGAACTGCATAATGAGACCCTATCTCAAAAAGTCATAAATAAATAAGTAGGACCTTGGTTCACAAACACTTTTGTTTGTAAAAGAGAAAAAAATCAGTTGGTAAATAGAAGCATTTGACAGCCAGGTGTGGTGGCAAATGCCTATAATCCTAGCATTAGGGAGGCGTAGGCAAAAGGATCTCCAAGAGTTCAAGGCCAGGCTGGGCTACATAAGGGAGCTCAGGACCAGCCTGCAATACACAGTAAGACCCTATCTCAAAAAAAAAAAAAAAAAAAAAAGAAAAAAGAAAAAGAAAAAAAAGCAGCACTCAGCAAAATTTTGCTAGCATTTGCTAATTCTGCATTAGGTGAGGAACATGGCTATGGCCACCTTATCCCTCACTAACACTAACACAGTCAACTTTCCCTTCACTAACAGAAACACAGGTACCTTCCCCAGAATGGTAGAACGAATTAAGTTTGTAAACTGAAGTACCACTGTATAAAAAATTTTAAAAGGGCTGGGGATATTACTCAGTGCAAAGGCCTTGGGTTCAATCCCTACTACTGCAATAAAGAATCTAATATAAGGGCTAGGGAGATAGCTCGGTGGCATAAGCACCTGCTTGGCAAGCGCAAGGTCCTGAATTCAATCCCTCATACCCCCATCAAAAACAACAACCTACTACAAAGATACAATAAAAATATGGTAGCAGGCCGGGGAGATGGCTCAGTGGAGTAAGCGCTTCCCTGGCAAGCGCTACAGCTTGAGTTCAATCCCAGGTTCCACCAAAAAAAAAATATGGTAGTGATGTATAGGCAGATATACAGATTAAACAATATAACATAAACAACCCATTATATATTATGACATATTTATGATCAACTAATTTTTAATAAAGGTTCCAAGACAACTCAAAGGAAAGAACAGTTTTTCCAACAACTGACACTGAACAACTTGATATCTAAATGCAAAAGATGAAGCTGGAGCAGGTGTGGTGGCACACACCTGTAATCCTAACATGTGAGAGGCTGAGGCTAGAGGATCTTCAAGAGTTCTAGGTCAACCTATACTACACAGTGAATTCAAGGTCAGTCTGAACTACATAGCAAGACCCCGC